CAGTTTATGAGTGAATAAAGGGATAAAGTGTCATTAGGTGTTCTTGGTCTTTCAAGTGACGTATTATAGGGAGTTTTTTCTTCAAGTTATCTAAAAAAGGGAAAGAAAACGAAATCTTTGAGAGATGACCGAGTATTGGTCTTGTTGCCTACAAAAGAATAAATCATCACAAGCTTGTAAATTCTTTTGGCTTATTTCGGTTGGGTACAAACTGTAGACTGGTTGAGTATCACACATGACTATCAAAAGAAGTGTGTGGATAAAATGTATATGCAACCGCTCTTGTTAATCTAAAGCAAGAAGCTGGCTGGCCAGTTGAAAAGGTGAAGGTTTTAGTGTGAGTTAAGCATTCTTTTTCCCCTTCTCGGTCCTCAGATTAGTAACACTAACATTTCAGACGATTCTGTACTTTTATTCATTATAACTTAAGCCTGCATAAAGTTATTCATAGATTTATTTTATACTATTGGACAATGTCACAGGATTCGATGTCATTCAACAGCGCCGAGGTCTGAAAACTGAGAAACCTATACTTCTTACCGGTCCTGGGAAGGTTAGTTCTTTTCCTTTCCTCCTGTTCACCTGTTTAGATGCTTAAGGAAAGATGTTTTGGTTAAAAATTTTGCGCTGCCATTTGACTTGTCAAGCTAAAGATATGAACATTCTAGTGCTTCACCTGCAATGACGAAATGGAAAAGGTAATCATGACAGTTGAAAGCAGATGGAAAGAGCTAACTCTGAATATCGTAAGAGAATACGGGGATTGAAATTGGATTCTTGGCTCAATACAGACATGTCGTCTTTCTTGACAAATATCATTGAGATTAAAGAAGGAAATGGAAATTGTACCTTAATAATTTTCAGTAGATACTCATGGATTATGATTTTGTACATGCTTGTTTTGTTTTCAGTTTGTTATGTTTCATATTTTGGCTATTTCTGAAATAGGCCGACTCTGTAAGTTTTAAAAGATTGTGCTTCGGCTCCTTTAAGTGTATAGAAATCTCACATGACATGATGGATTAGAAAGGTTCAACATTTGTGAAATTTAATTTGTATTTGCACAACCTTTTGGTATATGGCAGAATTACTATTTATCATATTCTTGCTAGAAGGAAAAAGTTAGAGAAGGATAGAAGGGTAGGAGGAAAACGGGTTCATCATTTATTTTTGCTCTTTTTCTTGACCATTTCCATGTTTTTTATGAGGACTTTTAGAATTGTTGGGAATGACAATTCTTTTCTTGTGAAGTGTCCATGCACATCTAAAACATCTCAGTTTATTTTTTTAATAAGAATAATGTGAATGTTCTTCCAAATCTTAGGTTGGTCAGGCATTGGGTCTATCGACGGAATGGTCCAACCATCCTCTCTATACAGCTGGTAAGCTTACAAGTTATAATTGAAGCGTCTGAAATGTAAAATTGACAAATGGATATCCATTTGTTTTTTGAAAACTGAAAAGTGTATGATGCAGGTGGTTTAGAACTCTTGGATGGTCCAGAGCCGGAAAACATATTGGTTGGTCCACGTGTTGGTATCCAATATGCTTCACCAGAGCATGTCAATGCATTGTGGAGATTTGCCATTGCAGGTACCCCTTGGATTAGTGCTCCCAAAAACACTCTCAGGCCGGCCTTGTAGTCAAAATAGCTGCTTAAGAAGGGAGGAAAAATGGTTTCATCGTGATCAACTGATTACTTAAATTCCCTATGTATATATTTTCACCTTAGAAATAGATTGGAGATTGATCCTGCATCACCTTTGAACTCTACTTAAGGTATGGCAAATTTTTATCCTAAAGTTTAACATAAATTTATTTTAGCTATATTAATATGTAAGAGGAGTGCTTCCGACACAATCCTTCTGACACACTACTATTAATGAAAATACTCATTTAGTAAGAAACGAGACACATAATTAAGATTTTGTATAAATCTTAACCAATTGTAAACAAATTAACGTAAATTATTTGTCGTTTTTCTCTTTGTTTTAGGTATAATTTTGTTAATGGACATTGATTGTATATATTTTCTGATGTATAGTTAAATTTTAAACCAAAATATTATAATGTATTTAACTTATATTTTTGTTTTCTTTGAATATGAATCTATACGGTGTTTACTTATTGTAAAATTCTGATATAGTTTTCTAGTATTATTTCATTTGTTTTAATATATACCGAAATCAATATTTCCCAGAGTGCCAAGCAGCCGTAGGTTGTATTTGAATTGGAACATGGATTTGTTGGGAAAAACAGATGAACGCTTCTGAAAATTAGTGAATTAGTAAATGTAAGTTTCATAGATTAAAAATTATTTTAATGGGTAAAAGTAAAGAATTATCATTTTGCTCTTAGTCGAAAAAGTAATTTAAAATAAAATATAATTATTAATTATATTAAAATGAATGTGAGTTATTAATATTATTATGTTTATTATATTATTATAATTATTATTATTACTATCATTATTATTATACATGTATAAAACCAAGATAGGCACGTACCGACATGGGAGGAGAATCAATTCGAAGAAAAGAAAATTGATTATTCTCTATTCATATTTCCCAAAACAATTTAATAGCATGGATTCGGAGGAGAATTGATTATCCTCCATTCATATTTCTTAAAATGACTTACTAATATACAAGAATCCGTGAGAAAAGAGGAGAGTCGATTCTCTGGCTTTAATATTACAACACAATCAATTTTCTCAAATTAATAGAAGATAATGGATTCTATACTTTTGCAGAATCGATTTTTGGCCCTTTTTATCCTTCTACAATCCATCATCTCCCAAAGAAAAAAAAAAGAAAAGAAATCTAGGAATGAAAACATGAGGGAAGACAACCGATTTGGTCCTTCAATGAAAACATTAAAGTACCAAATCGTATTTGCATATCATGTAAGATGGCTTCTCCTCACTTGAGCAAAGACGTCCTCGTTGCAACTCCTACAAATCGGTCCGCACAAATTTCTTCAAATCATTTTATTCAAACGATCCACTCAATTGTTGTTCCTTCCTCGCCTAAAGGAAATCAATGGAAGCAAACAAAGACTCAGTAACTTGGCTTAAAACCATTTTCAAATGCACCAGTAAATACATAGCGATAAGATATTTATTTCTTACCTTTTCCTCTTATTTTTGTCAGAACAAAAAGCGAGAAAATAAAAAATAAATCAATAGAGTAGGAAGTAAAATTGTTTAAATTAGAAAAATAGAAGAATGAAAAGAGTGAAAACATAGAGAAAGTTTAAATGATTATTTAGTATGATATAATAAATAATGTATAATTTTAATAATATAGACAATTATGAAAATATATAGTGTGAATGAATATTTAAATACATCACATCTTGTCTAAAAAAATTCATTGTTACTACATGGGTTACTGGCCAACAAATAGTGACAAATCATTTTATACTTGAAAATAAAAATCCTTGGACAACGATATCTAACATAATAAATTTAATTAGAAAAAAGTTCTTAGATAACCGTCAACAGTTTACTTTTAAAAAATAGTGGTTTGAAATTACAAATTAAATACTTTTTTTTAACTTGAATGAAACAGAATATTTCCTTGCATTTCTCTTTGAAGGTGTAATATAATTGCAATGGTGGTCCATAATATCTTTCACTCCTCTTCATCTCAAATCATTAGACAAACCAACCCTTTCCTTTTACATCTACTCCCTCACTTGCACCACGGCTAATCACGTACAAACAAACAAAACTGTTAGGCGCATTATAATAGGACTGAACTAAACCTACAAAAAAACTGCTAAAAAAAAAGGAAAATGAATTAAAGGGATACCTTCTGAAGAAAATAAGGATGATGTCATATCTATTACTGCTGGTAAAAAATTCGGTAAATTTGAGAACGTGTACTTAAGGCAGGCAAATATTTGGTGACACCATAAAAAATAATACACCTTTCTAAAAAGGCTGAAAGTGATAGCCCCAAAATGGTAACGAATGACGAATAGTCATAGGAGGAAAGAAAGGTAGACCACGTTCCAACCCTTCACCTCTTAGTTTACCTTGAAATAGTCGTAATTACAGTTTTCACTCCTAATCTTTTCCGACATCATCTAAAAAATATATAGAAATACAATGTCAAACAAATACAGAATGAGGTTTTACAGAACGAAGTTTATATTGATTACATTCTCCGATTCCAAATACAGTTCTACCTTTTCGTAAGGTAGTTATTTCATCCAAGGTATCAATTGGTGGTGACATTTACCGTCAATATTCCTCCCTTTTACTTAAAGGATTGGGAACGATATTATTTACACAAGTTATTATGATGTAAAAGATTATGACGTTTTGTGAAAGCAAAATACAGGAGACAAACTAATAAAAGAGGAAACACGTGTAGATATCAATGGGATTTTAGCTAATTTGGCTCTTATATAGAAATTCGACATTTTTCTATTGGACGAGGTTGTCTGGTTACATCGATCAAATGTTGACATGATATTTTATATCAATCATGTTTCAGACATAAAGACAAAATACTAAGATCTCTAAATCTTTCTGAATGGTTTTACTTTCACCTAGTGGTTACTTGTGTACTTGTACATCCGGCAGTAGGGCTTACCCTATCTGACCTACTGTCCAAATCAAGGTTGTATTTGTCTTCTCCCGAATCTCCATACATTTTTACCATTGTGTTAGGTTCCAGACTTGGGAACCTAATATCAATTCTCACTTTCACTCCAAGAAACACAGAAAGATTGGAAGAAATCAATTGTATTCACAGTAAAAGGTTTGTACAAACAGCACCCAGAGGCATAACCCTCTTCAACAGGTAAGTACCCGTTAACAATCTAAACAATCAACAACCCATAACTCTTCTAACCAGCCAGTATTTATACAATCTTACACGCTCCCCCCCTTAACTGTCCTAGACAGTTAGTTTGTTATAGTCAGTTGCACTTATTCCTTCTCTCATACACTAACCACCTTTTCTTATTCCTATCACATTGTCTTCTGAAATAGGCATTAACTTAACTTTCTCACAAGAATTCATTCATCTAAATCCTATTTTGAATAGTATGCCCACTCATTTTCTTATTGACCCTTTTTCCACATAGACCGTAAAACATCATTTGAATATTATCCCCCTATGCTTGAATAGTTTTTTTTTGTTACAAATAATACTCAATGCACTTTTCCAATTTTAACCTCAGCTAGGATTAACGAGCCTGTAGCTAAACTTACATTCTACAGACTTCACCTTACTTCCACCACTTGAACAAAAGAAGTGCCTCTAAAACTTGACACCTGGTCCACATCTCTCTCAAAAGAGCATGCCTGGTAAACACATTCGGTACCACGCTAAAAGGATACGAACTCCTAGTTTACCCTTGAGTTGATATAATCCTTTAGTCACCAGAAAAATTTGTTATGAACCCCGCCTTTTGTCCTCGTACTATTTTGATTCCCTCGTACATATCCTTGATTTGATGCTTGATTATATGCAATTTACACTCCTTTCTTCAGTTACGACTTTCCCAATACTCATCTGGACAACTTGGCTTATCATATGCTCTCTTTGTAAGTACTAGAAACGGGAAGAGCAATATTATTTATTGAATGGACAACGTGCCAGCTGTCAATCTTGTACAGTGATAATAATAAGTATTTGGTAGTGCATATGCAACATAACAAGATTATTACCAAGCAAGTTAGTTTTACATCTCACTTTAGTCCAAACAACTAATTTACTACTAGGGAAGGAGAAAGGTTTTGCTTCATCCACATAATATCTGCAAAAGAACAGGAATCAAAAACTACAATATCTGAATCACGAATAACATGGGCTTTTATTGAACCTTCGTTAAGAACTCAACCTTGTGTTGGTGCAAGACTGAGCTAACTCAAACTTCCAAAAATATTTACCTTCAAAACTTATAATATTGACAACAAAATTCCAAAAAGCACTCCATTTTTTATCAACTAGTCAATTGCTTTAACTGGAGTTTTTGTCAAGCATCTTTATGCCAAGTTAGAAAGAATATCACTGATTGGCAAAATAAAATTTCGGTTTAACAATCAGCAGCAGCTTAATGATACCAAAACATAAAAAAATCAGTGGCTTAAGTCGATTGCCATCGAGTATCCTCTATGATAATTCATTTACCATGTACATTGTACATTCTCACAACATTTTCAAGCACCTAAAGTTGCTTAATCCCCTCCAACATTTTCAGCCAAATCAGCAATTTCCTACTAAACATTCAACAGCTCTAATAAATACCGATTTGTTATAAATCTCTATAATAAAGAACTCTTTAAAAAGCAATGTAACGAGTTTCCGTCACTCAGTTTTCGAAGTTGAAATATGACTACATTGATACTTAAGTATGAGTCAAAGCAATTATTCAACTCAAACTCTTTTCATTTAGTGGTAAGTGCTATTACTGAAAAAACAAAATGCGGTTTCACTCTTCAACACTGGAAGAGACAAAGCAAAAAGAAAATAAAAAAGAAGCACTTTCATGTTACCTTAACAGGTATAAAGTATAACGATTGTAAGCATCTTGCTACTTGATTCACATGTGGCTTTATATTAACTGCTACAAGGCAAAAAAACTCAAGCACTCTGCAGAGTGAGAAGAGATAGTAGACCAGAAGAAATACACAATACAAAAACTAGATTTTCCAATCACCTTCATTCAACCAAAATCAACCAAAATCTAGGATACATATGAACAAATCTCCAAAAGCACAGCTTGAAAATTTTGCCCAAAAAATAGCTAAATCATTAGATATTCAGATACTTACGTCTGTACTACTCACATCGTGCATCCAATCGAATATTAATAGCTTCATTTCTGCAACAAACAATCTCGCAAATCTCAAAATGTGTCTACCTGTAGAGAAGGAAGAGGTCACATTTTTCCAAAGAAAACATAAAGAAAAAAGAAATTGAGAAGGTCAAGGTTTCCAACATACCTATGGTCAAATAATGACCCATGGAATGCTTGGTCCAAAGGAAGTTAGCAACAATAGAATTGTTCCACTCAAACACACAATGGAAGTTAGCTGGTCGCAAAGCTTTCAATGCCGTATCCTTATGAGAAAACAATGCTCAGCCTGACCCTCAGCCTTATTCACAAATTTCCTACACGCTAGGACATAACCGCCTGTAAAATTCGTTGAAGTCAAGACGGAAAAAGAGAAATTTTAGATCAACATGCTGCTGTACAGGCAACTGAGAAATGAATTCCTCTTGCAATGATGAATACTCCTTAGCAATTGCATCAAGATCTTGTCCCATATTTCGTAGAAATTCACCAGCACGTTGTGTTAGTGCTTTTCTCCCATCAACAATCCAGGATCCTGTATCTGCATTTTTATCATTCAACTGCTTCCGTGATCGTGTTTTATTTTGGTCTCGAGAGGATAGGGAGGATTCAGTGATTCTGAAACAAACACAAGGTCAAATGTCACGCGTAGCAATATATTTTTGTTTTTCAGGGGTGAATAGGTGAGAGAAGATTTACAAAATTAAAAAGATGAATACCTTGCTTGTAACTCATGAATACCTTCATACAATCGATCTGCACGGCTCCGAAAACGTAATATAAGATCAAATATTACAAGTAGTGACTTGTAAAGAGACTGGGAAAGGTCTCCAAGGAGAGATTTCTCTACAATAGAATGTAGATATTTCTCATGAGCTGCAAGTAGATCATCAAGATCCTTGGCTACTTCAATCTCCGCCAAAAAATTTGACCATGATATCTCCAGCACTTCAAACATTATATAATATTGTAAGTTTGAAATGAAGTGATTAATTTCAACCCAAAGAACCTGACAGCGCCTCAATGTTGAAACTAACTGCATCTTGACTGCATGTTGCAATCTTGTAAAGGAATTAGAAGTAATGCAGTTTGGTTTCATGGTTTTCCAGGCACCAGTAAGCGCATGTTCCACTCTTTTAAGCTTCCAAAGAAAATTAAAAATTCTTAAATACCTTGCCATCACAGACTCTGTGAACACTGTATCAAGTGGAACCCTTGCATCATATTCCAACGAAAATACATCCCAGCCTCTATCACCGCTCTCATGTGGCATCATTTTAACCCTGAGCCTATCCAAAATGTCAGGATCCTCATACTGAGCATTAGATGCTCTAATTGCAGTTTCCAGCAATCCCGAAAGTTTGAAAGAGCTAATAGTGTTAGCTGGCTCAGAAAGGTCAGGTCCCACAATATCCATAAGATACTGCACAAAATCACCTTGGCCAAGCAACAAATACTGCTTAATTGCAAGACAGTGTTCTTTGAACTTGTACCTCTTGAAAATCACATCCAACAAATGCTTGTCGATCCTTTTTGCAGCTTTATCTACTAATAACTCAAGGGTATCGGTTTCCCCATACCCAAAACCACCTCTTCTTGCTGTCACTTCATTATCAGTGATAACCTCAGTCGCAGCATCCGCCCAACCGCGATCCTCACAACAAACGCGAAGAAAATTAATCGACTTGCCAGTCCTCAAGATCCTCTGCGCAAGTGAAGGCGGAATGAACGAAGGAAGCATCGCATGATGAAGCCTATACCCTTCTCTCCAAAGTGATTCAGCTTTAACAGGCTGCCCAACAATGAAAAACTCAGAAAATATATCCTCCAACTCCCCTTCCAAAACCCACCTCCTCACCATCTCAAACAGCGAAGAACACACTCTCTGCAACAACCTCCTCATAAACTCATGAACCATCGGATCACCATGCTGTGCGTGCAAATGAATCGCCCCCGCCATAGCCCCGCCGCGCAAAACCCTACACTTCTCAACCAAATCCGCCATCAGCCTCATCTTCACCATTGGCTCAGCCAACCAAACCGCCAATCTCCTCAGCGATAGATAGTTCCCAGAACTCGCAGATTCGGACACCAGAGGAATCGGGTTCGAAGCCTGAGCATCAAGAACCGCCAACAATTTGTAGTACTCACTAAGCTCATCCTGCAAAGCAGAACAAAAAGCTTGTCCCACGGTTCCCACGTCTTCATTGGGAAACCGATCCATACTCTGCGAAATGTAACCACTAACCGTCCGAAACAAAACACCCAATTCACAAAGGTTATGAACCATACTCCTAGTGGCTCTCGGAACCCTAACCGAATCGGGTATCACATAACGCTTACTATCACTCTCGAATTTCACAAACCTACCATCGACCCCCTGGCAAGCATAGAGCACGTCCCTGACGATAACCTCTTCCAACACCTCGTTTTCTTCCTTGACCAAATTCACGAACTCCCGAAACGCGACTTCGCGGCGGTTCTCGGGATCCTTGGAGACAAGTAAAACGCCGTTGCTCCAGCCCTTGTTCGAAGCGGGTTCGGAGAAAGCGAGGTTGGGCAAGAGAGGTGTGGTGGTGGCGGGGATGGCGGCGGTCTTGTGGCGATCTTCGGAGATGATTTTTAGGAGGTAGATGACGGCCCATTTGTTGTTGACGCTTTGGGCTTTGGAGGCGAATTTAGAGAAGAGGTCGGCAAAGGAGAGGGCGTCCGCGGAACGAGCGTGAGTGGCGAGGCGGCGCTTGATGGAGTCAGCGATGGCTGCGGCGTCCGGAGCGACGGAGGGAGTGAGGCGGCTGGAGAGGATGCGGAGGGCGTAGCGGAGAGAGTTGCGGAATTCGGGTGAGTTAGGGTTTAGAGGAGGGGAATTGGATGGGAGGTTTTGGGAGAGCAAGCGGTGAACTAGCTCCTTCACCAGATCTGGAAGCTTCTGCTGGTCTTCTTCTTCCTCCATCATTCTGCTTCTTTGCCAACAAACTTTTCCTTTTACTGTTAATTTTCTCAATGGATTGTGGAGTGAGAGAGAGAAAGTCTGAGTGGAAAATAGGAGTGCTTTTTTGATTTGTTATGGGCGGGGAAATGAAACGCAAATGCAAATGCAATAATGCTTTTGGCGTGAGCACCTTTATTTTTTGAAACCTCAAAATCTCTCTATTCAACTCCACTCTCAAAGCAACAGTGTGAAATTGCAAATCTCAACTCTAGGGTTCAATTTCTTCTTCACATCAATTTTTTCCCCTTCTTAGTGTATGTTTTCCCTGACAAGTTTTTCTCAGTGACCACGAATTAACTAGGTTTCACCTTTTCTCTTGTGTTCAACACAACAAGAGAAAGAAACTTAGGTTTCAATTTTGATTGGTTGAGATATAAAGTTTTCTTTTTTACACGGCTTGGTTAGTGGTTTGGTTATGTATGAATTTCATTCCATTTAAAGAGTTTACTTTTAATGGAATCATAATGTAGGCAAATTACACTATCATTTAATTATAAATAAAGTATATTGTATGCTCGCACTGCTCCTTTTAATGATTGGTTTTTAATTAAGTTCTGAATTTGCAGTTACCTCAACTTTGAGAAAAAAAATTGGTTCATAGGAATATTGTTTCACTACAATGAAACATTGTTCACTTCTCTCATAACAAATATTTATATTATAAAAATAGTTTTTTTAATTGAATAGTAATTATGTATGTTGTTCTCCTTGACATAGGCCAAACAATCTATAAAAAATATATAAATGAGTTTTTATTACCTATTTATTATTTATTCTTTACACACCATAGAAACCAGTTTCCATTAAGCATATTTGGTCAAAAGAAATGGAGATGTAAACTTATTCAAAATGGGTGAGAATAACATGAACCATGTCCAATCTCTAAAAAAATGTTTTTCTTTCATTTTTTGTTCTAATTTGTTATTCATTCATCCATGTGACCATGAATAGATTTGGGATTCATTTTCCTCTTAGATTCAAATCAATAAACTACCTAGGGGTTACTTTACAAAATTTAATTTACTTTTTTTAAAACACTTATATTGTGTTCTTTTTACATTAATTTAGAAAGTATGTGATGTAAATACCTAAAAAAATATATATTTTAGAAGTGATAATAATTTAAAAATAACGAAATTTATTATTTTATATTAAAAAGATTTTAATATAAATAGTTTAATTATGAGCGAGTTTAATTATTTTAAAACACATTATCAAATATAAATCAGTTTTATATAGTTTTTTTAACTTTTTTTAAGAGTTTTTTTCTCTGTTTGTTTGATTAAAAAATCAAAATCGTATGATTGATCATTATGATGAGCTATTCGATTTGGACCGATCAGATTCTTCGTTTATGTAAGTTAAGTTTTAGTCATTTTTCTTGTTTTTTATTATTTGTTGCATGTGAGTCTTCATCTACTTGCATGTGTCTTTTTAGTTATATATATGAGTCTCAGTTGATCAATGATCATAACGGTATGTCCTGCTGATCAATGATTATAACGGTATGTCCTGATCATTCTTGTGATGTTTCTATGTGTAGATAGAGCGTCATGCAAGTTGGGAGAAGTTTCGTTGTCTTGTGAGCTATTAGCCAAGTAAGGAAAGTTAATTGCATTGTTATAGATACCTTGAAAGGTCTAAGTTTATGATTGTATAATAAATTCTCTGAATGATTGTTTTGTGTCATGACTATGATATGTTGAATTGTGGTTAGGTTCTTAAATTGAATTAATTGATTATATGATGAAATTTAGGAATGTTGTTTGATTGAAATGGTAGATGAAATTAATCGAGTTAGTGAAGATTGTGTAATTTGAATTTGGTATGTTTTGACATATGTGTTTGTTATTGAACTAAAATTGTAGTTTTGGAATGACATATACTTGTATAACTACGCTTTGTAGAATTATGCAAACTCGCTGAACGAGAATGTATTAGCTAGGTGAAACCAAAGTTAGAGAGCTTTTAACTTGGTTGTCGTTGAGCAAAACCAAAGTCAAAGAGCTTTTTACTTTATTGTCACTAAACGAGGATATACTTGTTGGGCGAAGTTAAATTCAGAAAGATACTAGCTTGGTGGTCGTTGGGTGAGAATATACTCGTTGGGCATATCCAAAGTCAACGAGCTCACTCATTTGACAGTAATTGGGTAAGACAAGTCTCACTAAGAGACTTAGAGAGATTTAAATATGTGGGTCCTAGTGATAATTTCACTAGGCGAGCCATTTGGTCATTGAGCAATTAGGCCTTTCGGCACTACTTATTGAGCGAGTAGATGTTCTCACTGAGCGAAATTAACAAAGTCTAATACTATTTTATATGTCTAATGTAGGACTGTGTGTTGTTAAATTGATAGTTGATTTATGATGTTTATTTGAAAATTGTTGATAAATCATGGATAAATATGCATGCGAATAATGATGTATGAAATTGTGATGATGATGATGAACTTGTTAATGAATTTAAGCACTTATGTGTTTGATGTAATTCTAGGAATCTCTTGGGGAGATTTTATGGTGACATTCCTTTAGTGTACGCATTGATGTGAGAGTCTATGTGGTGAGAGGTGTAGGAGGGCATAGTCTATGATTTTTACCTTGACAAAAGATGATAATAGACTAACCTTGTGTTTTAGGGTAAAACTTATTGGTAATGGCTTTGCAAAGCAATAGAGACTACCACAAGTGCAATACTATTTTATATGTCTAATGTAGATGTTCTCACTGAGCGAAATAAAAAAGTCTAATACTATTTTATATGTCTAATGTAGGACTGTGTGTTGTTAAAATGATAGTTGATTTATGATGTTTATTTGAAAATTGTTGATAAATCATGGATAAATATGCATGCGAATAAGGATGTATGAAATTGTGATGATGATGATGAACTTGTTAATGAATTTGAGCACTTATGTGTTTGATGTAATTCTAGGAATCTCTTGGGAAGATTTTATGGTGACATTTCTTTAGTGTACGCATTGATGTGAGAGTCTATGTGGTGAGAGGTGTAGGAGGGCATAGTCTATGATTTTTACCTTGACAAAAGATTATAATAAACTAACCTTATGTTTTAGGGTAAAACTTATTGGTAATGGCTTTGCAAAGCAATAGAGACTACCAAAAGTGCAATACCTTCCAAGATTTCACATTAATGTTTGTATCTGGATAATTGAGTCTAGTATCAATTGTTTGTGTGTATCTATTTTATCTATTATATTTAATCCAATTTATTGTATATTTGATATTTTGTAACTGTTTTTGAATAACTTTTGCAACGATCACTTGGTTGATGCGAGCAAATAGGAGATAGATGTTGAATAATCTTTGATAGAGAAATGTGGATCCTTCAAAGTATTTTTTCATATCGTCTAATAATTTTTTTATTATTTTAGATATATTTTTATTATTATGATTTTTCAAATGACTACGTTAATACTAAATATTTATATGTATGAGAAAATAAGTCTTATTTATCAATTTTATAAAGTCTTATTTTATTAGTTATAAATAATTAAAATTATGATGTTATAATTCATTTCATACTTATGTTTGTGATTTTTTTATTAATTCTTTTAAAAACTAAGTTTTTTCTTTTAAAATAGTTTTATTTAATTATTTTTTTTATAAACCAAACATATATAAAAGCCATTATATTAAAAAATAACAAAATAATGAAAGAGTAAATTTAATTTTAAAATAACAACAAAAGTAAGATGAACTCAGAAATAATTAATTTAACTTATGAAAATTTTTATTATTACCATAAACCTTAAACTCTAAATCTTAAATTCTAAATCCTAAACCCTAAATCCTGAATCCTGAATCCTGAATATTGAACCTTGAATTCTGAATCCTAAACCCTATTACTTCTTCCTATGTTTTACAAACTTTTTTTTTTTTACTTTTTCAGGTGAACACATACAACTCTTTTAATTTTTTCAAAAAATAATTTATTATTTTCATAGTGCTTATTATTAAAATAATTTACCTGTGAAATAGTTAAATGTCATTTTTTTTCCTAATAGTTTTTTTTTATCATTTGATATTGTTGTTTAAGAAATTATAAATAGTTGCATTCACAATAAAATAATTTTAACAGTCTTTCTTTTATGTTAATTGTATTTGGATTTGAAAATTTTTCTTCATTTCTAAGAGATTTGACAAATACACGGTACTAACTTTTATCTTGGGTCAACTATATGACATCTTAACTGATACATATAACTGTTTTCAATTCATATAATTTTCTGTTTACTTTTACTCAGAGATTCATACCAAATTCTTATCACATTTTTTTTTTCATATCAAACTAATGATCAATATACTTGAAAATTTTATAAAGATACATTTAAAATAAGAGGAATATTAAAACATGATTTTTTAATAACATTTGATAACTTATTTCTATATGATTAATATTTTAAAATACATAATTATAAAAAAATTATAAACTTTCGTGCATATTTATTTATTTCACAGTTTAAATACTTTAGTGAACCTCACAGGCTCTCTTATTAATTGAATTTAACTTGGTACACCTTCTTAAAATCTTTTTATGACAAGAATCTGTAAAATTATTTTTCAATTTTAATTTTAACTCAAAGGTAGACTTAATTAAGATTGTTTTCAATAACTTGATTAATATTCACCAATTATTATTTTGTTTTCTTATGTGAAATCATTTACTGATAAAGCATGGTTCTGGTAGGGTCCACCTACAATAATTTGGTATTAACCTCCAAACTCACAATAGAACCTAGTGGCACTTCATTCTAAATTTTCAAAAGTGTTCAATGCTTGTCACTTTTTCTCGGTTGGTAGATGATTAGGTTTAATATTTTTTATTAAATTTGTTAAAACATAAATTACTGTAGTCTCTTTAATTAAGATAATTACATTAAATTTATTTATTATATTATATACCAGTTTACAAGTTAATATTAATTGAGATATATTTATTATATTATATTACTGTTGTCAAATATTTCATAATTTTAGCAATAGTTTATTGTAGTTTATTTTCACGAATTTACATCCAAAATAGTTAAATAACTTTAATAAGTTCAGGTAAGTAGAAAATATTTGATAAGAGCATATTCAATTTATTTACGTGGTTAACCTTCTACTTATTTATTATACATTATTGAAAATATTGGTCAAGGACATATTTTAAAAAAATTCATATTATTTTAAAAATACACCTAATCTTAGGCATTTTATTAGTTTATGTATGTTGAATTATTTTATTACAAATAATAATTAAATTTTAATTTATAAACATTAATATTTTAAATACAATATATATATTAAATAATATAATAAGAAATTAATTTTTAAATTATTTATTTATATTTTAAATTAAAAATAACAATTGACAGATGAGCTGAGTTCTAGTTAAATTGACATACCTGACTTAATAGATTAGAGTACATTAATCAACTAAAAATAATATTGTTTTTGTTAAATTGTGGTAATTTGTCCATCTGTTATCTCTAATTTTATTTTATTTTGTTATGATAATTTAATTATTTTCAAAAGTAGGTGCCAGCTCTTATCTTTAAATAGAAAAAAAAATTTCAAATTTATAAGAATTAAACATTAATTTGCAATAATGAAACATTTTTTTTCTCGTTCTTTCTCTCAATAGAACAAAGCAAGAAAAAACAGCATTCCCGTTCACATGCTAAACGTGGGAGGAATTATAAGAAGAAAACAAGGAAAAGAAAAGAAAATATAAAATTATTACAAAGATAGATATTATGTATTTTTCTTTCTATTTATATTATTTTCTTTTTATACAATTACATTTATTATTTATTTAAAACGTTAAAGTTAACACAAACAAATACAAAGAGACACGAGAATGACACGGTAAACAAAATAAAAGATGAGAAAAGGTGAGATTAAAATAGAATAGTAAAGGGTTTATTTATTTATTTCTTACCTTTTCAGTTAAAAGAAAGTTGCATGTTGGAGAAAAAATTGTAGATAAAATTAAGACAATAAAAAAAAAGGGTTTGCTTTTAAACGTCGCGTGCGGGAAGGGTCACTGGACCACCTTGTTGTCTTGGCAACGTATCGTTAAGAACGAGACCAGACAACAGAGAAGAAGACCCAAAATATTTTTTTATTCCCAAAATTCAAACTCAAATAAAAAACAAATTAATAATAATACAAAAAGATAATAATAATAATAATTCAGGGGAGGAAGAAACAGAACACAATACAAGGAAGTTGTGCGATTTCGAAGCAGAAGAAGGACAAGAACAAAAACATTAGTATTTCTCCCCATCCATTTGCATACCAACAAGACACGCTTTTTTGTTCAATCTCCATAGCAGAGGGTAATCTCCGTAACTTCCGGAGCTCGTGTTTCAATATGTTTGTCGCAACTTTCTTTTGCATTTTTTTTTTCAAAAATTTCATTTTTTCTTCTGTTATGCGTCCCAATTGCTTTGTTTCCCACACACGCACGCAGTCGAGGCTCGGAATTCTCAACTGGGTATTTGTTTTTTCATGTGTTTGTTAGTGAGTTTTTTAGATTTTCTCATATTGTGGTTGTTTTTGATTGTATGTGTTCAGATTTGTATGCATTTGGCTGTCATGTGCTTGATTTTTGTTGCTCTGTGATTCTATGTATGAGATTGGTTCTTGCATATAATAAATTGTTTAATGGATGTTGTTTGGGATTTATTTTTTTTTCGATTTTTGATTGGTGGGATTGAGTAGGAAAAGGCAGTACTTTGGCGAAGCCAGCCATGCTACTTATGCTGGTTAATGAAGTTCTGGGTTCTTCTTTTGTATCTGTAATTTTTCTGTCTCGCTTGTATCTGTTTAATGGATAATTTAACTGAGGGAAGAGGTAAGGGATGGAGAATAGTGATCACATGTTTCAGTTTTGTGTAAAAGTTAAGGCACAGGAACTGCTAGATGTCATTAAGGAACATAATTTGTTTGCTCTAATGTCATTGCATTAGAAAACAAAGAACTAGGACGGGTCAATTTTAGTAAATAGGTACTTGCTCGAAAAATTATCTGGGTTTGGATTTTCCCAATGAGCCTCCCGTGGTCTGATGGGATAGGAAGTTATTTTTTACATTTATGAGTTTTGGTTTGTCTGTTATTTGTTCTATTCACCCTTCTCAACTTCAAGCAGTTAGAAAATTTGAACATTGATTTAACAATTTCACAATAGTTTAGCAGTTGGAATGATATATTGTTAGGTAAGAAATGTATGTTACACTTGTCTTCTTATAATCGCGTAATGACTTAGCATATTGACTGACAAATTTTTGCTTGATATTTTGGAAAAGGAAATTACTATTCTGCTGCAGTTTTTAATGATTGCAAATAATATTTGTCATATCTACAAATTTTCATTTATTCCTCACACTGTGGGACAAGGCTTTGTTGTTATTTCTTGTTGTGAAGGCCCGGTTTACTGATTTTGCATTTTGGTTAACTACGTAACATTTCAGACATATTTTCTTGATTATTTGCATGATGTTTTCCAGAATTACTCAAGCACTTAAATTAGCAGTTAATCTACTTACTGTTGCATGTGTATATAGCTTACCTTAAACTTTCCTACTTCTGTCTGAAAAATGAGATCTTAACTAGTCTTGTATGTTTCTTTTTCCCCCTTCCAACTACTTTGGACCACAAAATATCAAATTTGACTATTATGGCATCTATTATGTAAGTTCTTATGCAATGATCATTTAAATGTATAACAGATGTAGCATTTCATAAAAGTAAGAGCTTTGGTTTCTCGTCATCTGGAAAGAAATACTGTAGATCTGGGTTAGCAATGGCTCCTGGGAGCAGTGTTTTCAAAGAAGTTCTTGAATCTCATCTGATGTCTTCAGATTATGAAACAGGCAAGGCTAAATCTGAGGCCAAGAGTAATAGTACATCTACAAAATCTAGTATTGGGTTGAATGGAAAAAACGGAGTTAGTTCAAATAATGGGGTGTACGAATTACTTGGATGCTCTGTTTGCAAGAACTTAATGTATCCTCCAATTCACCAGGTACGGTGCTTGCAATTTCTTATTTTTGGGGTCTATATACGTGTGCGTGGAAAACTTTTTTGGGTAGTTCATGATGCATTGATGAAATAGATATAGGCATACAAATCGTGGCATTTGATTTTTGTCTCCATAGTCCTTATAGGATGGTTGTATGTGAAGATGGTATCACTTTCCGCAACCTTGGTTTCGTTGACAATGTGGGATAAGTTTAGTCATTAAATAATCATAGCTGTCTGTTCAAATTTTCTTTAGTAATGTGAGTTTCACGATAATTATCTATGCAAATCTGCTCCCCGTCTGATGTCTTTAACTCTCTCATTGACATAAGTGAATATTTTGGAGTGTACAGAAGTAGCTATACAAACATTAGGTTTATAGCCACTTTCTATTTTGAACTTAGTTCAGATTCCCTTCCCACCCTGCAAAAGAAAGGTTGGGAATGAGAGTTGCTGATACTGCCTATGTCTATGGATATATGGTTGAATTGCTTATGCTAAGGACAGTGGATTAGTTGAGAATGAAATCTCGCTCAAGTGGGTAGGACGGAGAAGTAAGAAGATAGTTTTGAAAACATGACTCAGGTGTTGCTAGTTTAGTGCGTTTTTGGAATTTCATTCAGTTGAACTGAATGCCAATCCTCCTCCTCTTCCTTCTATGTAGAGCGCTTTGGGAATTGGGATTTTTTGTTCACCATGCTTTCAACAGATTTCCAACACACCCTTGTTGTTGTTGGACCTTTTCATTGAAGGCTATATGCACCTAATCCTCGTGTACTGTTCTGCCTATTCTACAGAGAAGATGGTTGGATGAGGGTTAATAAAACATGCTGAAAGTCTGAAACTCTTTAGTCATTATTCTCACTTTTCATGTTTACTATGAATATGTCCTGTCTTGGATTTTACTTTTAATTTCTAATACACATGGCTGCATTGTATGTTTCAGTGTCCAAATGGCCATACATTATGTTGCCATTGTAAAGTTGAAGTCCACAATATCTGCCCATCTTGCCATCATGAACTTGGAAATATAAGGTGTTTGGCTTTGGAGAAAGTGGCAGAATCGTTGGAACTTCCTTGCAGATATCAGAGTCTAGGTTGTCATGATATATTCCCTTACTATACTAAGCTCAAGCACGAGCAAAATTGTGGATTTCGTCCATACAATTGCCCTTATGCTGGATCTGAGTGCTCAGTGATGGGTGACATTCCAACTCTTGTTGCCCATCTCAAGGATGATCACAAGGTTGACATGCATGATGGATGCACCTTCAATCACCGATATGTCAAAGCAAATCCTCATGAAGTTGAAAATGCCACATGGATGCTAACTGTGAGTTATTTAATGAATTGTAGTAGCTGGAATGTTGGATGATTTGATGTACTGTTTTTCATGGACTGGCATTTCTTACATCATGTTAGTTTTGTTATTTAATGAGTATAGTAGTCTGATGTCATATCCCCTGATGTATTTAATTTCATGTGTGCACATGGCCATGCACGTTTGTTTAAAAAAACTCTACTTGACTATTTTTAATTCTTTGCAAGTAATGTTTAGAATCATCTTGGGTCACATGAAATACACGTAGAGACAGTCTTTTGACTTTTCATGAATAATTTGAAATATGGAATTGTTTTCCTCTTTGATCTTCTTTTTAACATTTCTTTAAGTCTAAAGTTAATATACGGATCCACCTTTGGTTTTCTGAATGCATGTTGTCATGATGTTAATTTCTAGCACATGCCTAATATAAAGAACCCCACTTGACATGTCAGAAGTTCTTTTCTTTCTTTTTTTTTTCTTTCTTTTGCAGGTTTTTAATAGTTTTGGAAGGCATTTCTGCTTGCACTTTGAGGCATTTCAGCTTGGCTCAGCTCCAGTATATATGGCTTTTTTGCGATTTATGGGTGATGACTATGAAGCAAAGAAATTCAGCTACAGCTTAGAAGTTGGTGCAAATGGGCGCAAACTTATATGGCAAGGGATTCCAAGGAGCATTCGTGACAGTCATAGAAAAGTTCGAGATAGTCAAGATGGACTTATAATTCAGAGGAACCTTGCGCTTTATTTTTCTGGTGGAGAAAGACAGGAGTTAAAGTTGAGAATCAGTGGGCGTATATGGAGAGAAGATTGAGAGATGTAAATACAATACTCTTATCAGAGATGTAACCATTGTTTTAAGATTTTTGCTTTCTGACAATCAATGAAGCACTATGTCTGCTTATCTCTCCATAGATTCTCTTTCATCTCCTTATAGTCTGTGTCTTAGTTGTGAGTTTTACTTTCAATTTGGCTCAGCTTTTTAGACAAAATTATGTGCTTCTGAATATTGGAAATCTAGCTTACACGGTTGAGTAAATTTTTTTAGACTTTGTTGCACTTATGCTCAGACTAATATATATATATATATATATACACACACGTGTGTGTGCGTGTGTCACTTTGAATTATTAAATGAAAATGAATTAACATAAATGGTGCCTATTAAATATAGCAAAGAAGAATTTGACCAATGCATAATGTTTTAGTTCATACAATTTTACAAACACCTTGTAAGTGTGGATTTACAAAGTTTCATCAAAAAAAGTTTAACACCTTCAACGTAAATTTGTCTAAGACCAATGTTATGATTCATTTCATTTTAGAAACACATTGTGATAGTATAAAGGATTTGTAAAGTTTTGCAAAAATACTTCTTTTATCTGCAAAAATACTTCTTTAATCTAGCTCCACATTCAAACCCAAAAAATTTCATCATACCTACATCTTTATCATGAGGTTTTGCTTCTTTGCTCACGCTGGATCACTCTACCAATTTCATTTGATCTTTCTTTATTATTTAATCTGACTTCTAATGTGTGTTCTTTACTCGACATTTTCTCTTTTAGCACAAGGGTGTATATAGAATACAACAACTAATACATTAACTCATTTCCATACATTAATCAAATGTTGTATAAAGAAAACATAGTATACCTTAATGTCACAAAGACAACATCTCAATGTTTTCACTTGAAAAAAGGACACTTAAATACGAATAAGCCATAGTCTTCGTAGAATTTTTTTATCAGTTCCTTCAGAGAAAAATAACAAAAAGAAGAGTAAAAGTTAGTTGATTAGAAAATTCATTATCTGTATAGAGACATGGGAAGTCAAGAACCTTGATAATGGAGATAGAAAAGTTTAAAAAGGTACAAGAATCTTCATCCCTCATATTCCACCACTAATTTATTTCTTCATCCCTTATTCCTATTACTTTTAGGTTTTCCTCTTAGTTTTTCTCCTTGATTTCTTTTTTATTTTAATCTTTAATTAAAAAGATAAACATATATCAGCTCGATAAATTACAATTCAGTTATTAATTTTAAAAGTAAACTTATATGTAAAATTTAAATATTTACACCCATTCCTTTTTACTTATTCATTTTGGAAGGTTATATATGATGGCAGTTTTGCTATGAATCATATCCAAGTGTTATCATGATAAAAATCTCATTCAATTGGACTCATTGATGAGCATCAGTACATTAATTTAAAGGATCAAAAAACTTATTCGTCATAATGAAGACTGATATTTGTATAAATGTTGTTTGTAGTGAGATCTTTATAAATGGTAGGCGAACACATGTTTAGGAGAAATTATAAAAGATAGATTGACAGATAGGCAGTGGTAAATCCAATCATTGAGACGAAAAGAAAACATAAAAAAGGTCAGCATATGATTTGCACGTCATGTTTGGGTGTCAGATGATAAGAAAGACTTAGAAATAACAATAATAACCATATAATAAAGAAAGCTCTAAAATAGAAGGTAATGAACGAAGGACATGCTTCCATCGTGGGGGCACGTACGTGCAACACAACCCTACCAACGTTGGCGCACACAACAATTGTTTATCTTCCAACCGACATTCCCGGCAAAAACAATAACATCTACCTTTCTTCCCAAACCACTTTCATTACACCAAACTTACCCAACTACGCCAAAACTTTCCTCCTTCTGCATTTCCCAATCCTTCACTCTCTTTTTATTTTTCTCTTCCTAATATTCCTCTTTCTCGTCCACTCATTGTATGTGCCATCGTTAACGTGATTTATCACAACTTTCCTGAGGTAACCAGATAACCTCGTCTTACGGTTCTTTATCCGTCTTCTTCCACTTGTACATTTTTATGCATCAGGAGGGTTTAAATCTTTTATGTGTATGTGGGGTTGATTTTGCGCCGTTAGCAATGCCAAACGCATTCACGATGCTGCGTTCCATCAACTTTGCTGCTTCTTTTCTTGAACGTTAAAGAGAGGATGCTTTGTTATTTATATTGTTCGTGTGTCGATTCTACTGGAACAAAAAGTTGACTTTTTTTTTATTGATCATGTTCATCACCTCTGTCCAAAACCATAGACAAATGGACACACGTTCTTGAGATTTTGGTACTCGACGAATGAAAAAATGGCAGAGGCCACCCCATGTTTTTTTTATTGGATTTTATCTTGTTTCCGCATTGTCTGTTGAGAATTTGAGCGTTGAAAATGGTTTCAGGTGATTCATTGAATACCGATCGTTTCTGTGAATATGGCTTATTGAGAGGTGCAGATAGGACCAGCTGAAGTATGTTGTGCTGCGGAGGTGCAGAGGAGGAGAGCAGCGCCCCCCCTGCAAGCCAATACACTGCACCACCTAGGGGTAGCACATACGGCGGAGGAGGAGGTAACGTCTTCATATTTGTAATTCTCTTTTTTATGCAATACATTTCCTCTGCAAGGTTATGGATAATGATTTGCAGTAACCCTGGGTGAATGCAGGAAGTGGTAGAGGAGAGCCTAGGGGTGTTGCAAGGAGTGCCCCACAGAAAGTGTTGCCGATTGAGATACCCTCTATTCCATTGGAAGAGTTAAATAGGTTAACAGGAAACTTTGGTACAAAGGCTTTCATCGGCGAAGGTTCCTACGGACGGGTTTACTATGCAAAATTGAGTGATGGTACTGATGCTGCTATTAAGAAGCTGGATAACAGTTCTTCCCCAGAACCTGACTCCGATTTCGGCACTCAGGTATGCTTTTGATCTCATAATGTAATTCCATTTCCTCGTTCATGATGATGTTGTCACACATTTCACTATTGATCTTGCAGTTATCGGTTGTCTCAAGACTGAAGCATGACAACTTTGTTGAGTTGATTGGATATTGTCTAGAGGCAGAAAACAGAATTTTGGTATACCAACATGCAAGCCTTGGTTCTTTGCATGACGTGTTACATGGTAAGTCCAACACTGTCGCTATTCAATTAAGAAAACAGGTCTGGTTCTTTGTCTGAACTCTAGGCTTTTGCTACAGGAAGGAAGGGTGTACAAGGGGCTGAGCCTGGTCCAGTTCTAAGTTGGAACCAAAGAGCCAAAATTGCATTTGGTGCAGCAAAAGGACTTGAGTTTCTTCACGAAAAGGTTCAGCCTTCTATTGTTCATCGCGATGTTAGATCCAGCAATGTCTTACTGTTCAATGACTATGAGACCAAGATAGCAGATTTTAGCTTGACAAATCAGTCTTCTGACACAGCCGCTCGGCTACATTCAACAAGAGTCTTGGGAACATTTGGCTATCATGCTCCGGAGTATGTCCTCAATGAAACCTTCTGATACATTAGCCATAACGTTAAATGCATACTGAAAAATATTTGTTTCTAGACAAGTGTGTCTTCGATTATTGGCAATAATTTCATGTTCCATCCCATCCAAACACTATCCTTTGTTGTTAGAAACAATACCATGTTAATGTAAGTTTTAATTTTGTTTTTAAAATGATTACTTCAGGTATGCCATGACTGGGCAGATAACCCAGAAAAGTGATGTTTACAGTTTTGGTGTTGTGCTATTAGAACTCTTGACTGGAAGAAAACCAGTAGATCACACAATGCCGAAAGGACAACAGAGTCTTGTAACTTGGGTATGTGTTTGTTTGATGACCTTAATTGGTTTTCTTCTCCATTATATTACAATTATGATAATTTGTTCTTTTATTGTTCCAGGCAACTCCAAGGCTGAGCGAGGACAAAGTGAAACAATGTGTTGATCCTAAGCTAAACAACGAGTATCCGCCAAAGGCTATTGCCAAGGTTTGCTCCTTTATGCTTCCACTATAGTTGAACCATGCAACTAAATTTACAAAATTACTTCATAGTAGTGTATAGTTGAGAGTGGTGACTGAATATTAGGCGTTGATAAATGCAGTTGGCAGCAGTGGCAGCGCTTTGTGTTCAGTATGAAGCTGATTTCAGACCAAACATGACGATTGTGGTGAAAGCTCTTCAGCCACTTCTCAATGCAAAACCGCCTGGTCCTGAAACTCAAGCTTGACATTGTGATCTCGTTTAACTATGAGGGTTATTAGATTTTTGTGCAATTTGTAACACAATGATGAAGTTCATTTGCTTTCATTGTCAAATGATTGTATATTATGCTATGCCAAAGTTGATTCGGTTTGCTAGCTCTCCCCTTTGTTTGGAAACATATGTTTGAACACGTAATGAATGATGGAGACCAAAATTTGGCATATGATAATCAAAGGTAAGAGAATGAAAATTCAGAAAAAGCCTGATGTTAGTTGAAAATATCTTTCATCTCTTTTGCTTGACTATTATGGATATCAAAACACTTGAAAAGAAATCTTATCTGTGGTAATTTTAACTTTACATCAGTGATCAATGCAAGTGAGTTTAATCATCACATTTTGTGTGTAATGAATAATTAAGCTAATAACATTCATGTTGTTTATATAATGTTTTAATAGTTAAAATCAACTTTTGATAGCTTTCATAATAAACTCTTTCTATATAAATAAATAAAGATACCTCAATTATAGTGGTGTATAGAAATATCAACATTATAAAAGTACAAGTGAATTAAAATATTTAAATTGTGTTTAATGAATAATTAAATTACTTATTATAATATTGTCACAATGCATTCTTAAATTAAAATCAATACATAAAATATATCTTTATACTTTTTTAAAATAAGATCATGTTGTATTTCTCATTTATATTGACACTTAAAAATATAATTATCATTTATCTTCATGAAAAATCTTATTAAAATTATAAAGACGTGAAGGAATAAACCAAACTCATAAAATAAATAAAGTCAATTTTTAGAGAATTTAAACAACTCCAAACATATGTAATTGATGCTTATTATAAAAATAAAATTCAAACTAATAATAGAAAACATAACATAACATCATTTAAGAGATTATCTATTTTCAACCCTAAATTACTCAACTCAATACAATGATTTCTTTTATGTAAAAAATATAAAATACTTTAAATTTAATATCATCATAAATCTATAAACACATGCGTCGTCT